TTACTTTACTGAGGTGCGCTGACTCAACAGGGGAAACGACTTGAAGAGATTTTTTGAGTTAAGAGCAGAGGTGAGGAGATTTATGGAGGATGCAGAATGGATGTTCCTGATTTGCATGATCCTAAATGGGTTATGGACCTTGCATTCCTAGTGGACATAACACAGCAGCTGAACATCCTCAACCTGAAGCTCCAGGTCCTGATCAGCTCATAACAGCAGCATATGAAAGTGTGAAAGCCTTCTGCACAAAACTGAGATTGTGGAAAACTCAGCTCTCTGCCAAAAACCTCAGTCATTTCCCAGCATTCAGATCTCTTGTGGAACAGGGCACGCATTCAGTGGTGATGAATATACCTCTGCTATTGACAATCTTCTGCAGGAGTTTGATCAGCGTTTTGCTGACTTCAAGGAACACCGGGTCACTTTCCAGGTATTTGCAGACCCTTTTTCAGCTGATGTTGAGAGTGTCCCAAGTGTGTTGCAAATGGAACTTGTTGACCTGCAGTGTAACAGTGAACTGAAAAATAAATTCAGAGAGGTACAGGGAAGGCAGACCTGACTGGACAGTTTCTAAGAGAATTACCTGCATCCTTCCCAGAGCTATCCAAATTGTTCAGTCGTGTAATGTGCCTTTTTGAAAGCACATATCTGTGTGAGAAACTTTTCTCGACAATGAACTTTAATAAATGCAAGCAATAAAATCCAGGCTTAGTGATGCACACCTTGAAGCTGTACTCAGGTTTCAACTGTGACCTCCATCAAGGTAAATGTGGCTCATCTGTGTGAGCAGAAGCGCTGCCAGGTGTCTGGCAAGAAATAGAATGCAGGATTAATGTACTGGTATTTTGAGTAACTGCATTTTTTGGTTCAGTGCAGGTTTTATTTATTATTTGATTAAGTTATTTTAGTTATTTAAGTTATAAAGCAAACAAAAGACTTGCACTACTAAATAAAAGCAGATGTTTTGAAAAATGTATATAAACTGCTGTTTGTATTAGTGATGTGTGACAAAATTTTGCGGAAACAAAAAGTACATTTGCAAAAATAAAGTCCTTTTTGTGGTGCTTGAACTTTGTAGTGGCCCTCCTTTAAGTCGACAGTACTCCCAGTGGCCCCATGCCAGTTTGAGTTTGAGACCCCTGCTTCAGAGCCTGAACACCAGTAACATGAAGCCACCAGAGGGGGAGCCCTCACACCAATAATGATCATAACACCATTAAAACTGACAGTACTGATGGGTTGTGTTTAAAAACAGTTAGTTACTTTCTACCTCAGCAGTGTATACTTGTTGTTTGTATGAAATAAAGAAGACCTAGCATCTTGGTTACATTTAAATGTAATAACTGTGTCTCTATATTGCAGCTTCTACTGTGCAGTGTGTACTTCAGGCATTTATTGAGTAAGGCCCTGCATTAGTATCTCTATAATGCAGCTCTTGTTCATTACATTATCCCGTCGATCATGCAGTATGTATTATTGTCCTCCTGATATTTATTGTGTAAGGCCTAAATACATGCAATCAATAATGTTAAAAAAAATAATTATTGTATATTTTATATGATTCTGTTTTAATAGCAATAAAAAAACACCTTGTAGTTCATACAGATATTCGTTTTGATCATTATCTGTCTTTCCCCACTCCTCTTCCCTTCACACAGTCACAACTTCATCTTTTCTTTCCATTCTTTAACCACATCGCCAGATGACGGTACCCCGCTCAGCTCTGATTTCATTCAGTTACTGCTCCTTCTTGGACAGGTGAGTCTTATCAGACACAGGTGAAAACAATAAGAGCTAGGCACACATTATGAAAATACCTTTGTTTTAAACAGAGTAACTCACAATTATCAGGATCACATTCACATCAGTAACTGAACCAGAGGTCTTTAGCTTCCTCTATGGTGATCTTATTCAATCAGACTTTTAGAAAATTAGATTTTAATACATGTGATCACAGATGTTACTGTATTTTTCATAACTGTCAAAAGTGGAGATGTGTGTTCTTTTGCTTTGTGTTCTTACTGAATGTCTGCCTGAATTGAAATACCGAAAAAATTAAAAAAAGATTAGCAAATAAAAAGGTCAATTGCGTTGAAAATTTAAGTCCAGATGTAAAGAGGTGATATCCAAATTAAATTATTTTCTAATCACTCTGAGGAGGAGTCAATGTAAATCTCTGATGTGTTCCTCCTCTACTTATGTGAGTGCAGAGAGGACGACAGAGAACAGTGGACACACAGTTGAACATGATGGACTATAGGACAGGACTGCTGCTTTTTACTGTCTGCTGGGCAGGTGATGATCATCACTCATCTTTACTCTAAAAAGTCTTCTGAAAGTGTCACATCTGATGGTTTTCTTTTCTGTCACTTCAGGTGTTGATGGTCAGACTCTGACAGAATCTGAAGCAGTGGTTAAAAGGCCTGGAGAATCCCACAGACTGACCTGTTCAACCTCTGGATTCACATTTAGCAGCTCCTGGATGGCTTGGGTCAGACAGGCTCCTGGAAAAGGACTGGAGTGGATCGCTAATATCAGACATGACAGTGCTAGCTCTAATTCAGTCAGATGCCGGTTCACCATCTCCAGAGACAACAGCAGACAGCAGCTGTATCTGCAGATGAACAGTCTGAAGACTGAAGACACTGCAGTGTATTACTGTGCCAGAGACCCACAGTGACACAACCCATCAGTGGAGCTGAACAAAAACCCCTCAGAGCCTGAACACCAGTAACATGAAGCCACCAGAGAAGGAGCCATCACACCAATCATGATTATAACACCAATAAAACTGACAGCAGTATATTAAGGATATTAATACAAATCCAATCTTACTACTCAATCGCATCTCATTGAAATAAAAAAAAAATCAGGAACATTCATTAGCTTGAAGGAAGAACAAGCTGGGAAATTCAGATCAGACGTCATGTTTTATAGGGGGGGTTTCTCTGACAAGTACAGCAAGAACAATAGCCGTATAGGGTATGAGGGAGAGTTTGAGTGACGATCCGCTGCCAGCACCGAGGGGCCACGCGCCTCGGGTGCAGGGATCTCAACCGGTAATCAATATATATATATAATACAAGTTTATCACAGTTTACTCCTGGACTAGAGAACAACTAAGCATCTCTGCTTTGGATCCACATGCTAAAACTCTAACACATACACAAAGAAAACAGTATGTTACATCAGTATTTTCTAACAGGAATTTTGGAGAACCTCAGGCATCTGTTCTTGACTTTCTGCTTTTCCTTTATGTATGACAGTCTGTCCTGGGAACTCTTTCTCTGACTCTATTAGCTCCAGTCAGACCATCATTGATGCTTCATATGTTTGATTGTATGCAAACTCAGTGAGCTTCCTTGTTACTCAGCTATAAAAACTTCCCATCAGGCCGTCAGTGGAGTTCACAGCACGTCACTTTCAACATCAACCATGTTTTCTGTAGCTCTGCTGCTGCTGCTGGCAGCTGGATGTGAGTCTGTCTGCATCTGTCAAAGTCAACAGTTCTTCTTCTGCAGTTTAACTTGATCATTTCTTACTAAACATGTTCTCTTTTTAACAGGTGTGAAGTGTGAACAGTTGACACAGCCAGCCTCTGTGACTGTGCAGCCAGGTCAGAGTCTGACCATCACCTGTCAGGTCTCTTATTCTGTTAGCAGCTACTGGACAGCCTGGATCAGACAGCCTGCAGGGAAAGGACTGGAGTGGATTGGATGGAGATACCTGGACACTCACTACAAAGATTCACTGAAGAACCAGTTCAGTATCGACTTAGACGCCTCTAACAACAGGGTGACCCTAAACGGACTGAATATGCAGCCTGCAGACACTGCAGTGTATTACTGTGCCAGAGACCCACAGTGACACAACCCATCAGTAGAGCTGAACAAAAACTACTTCCTCTTTTTACCACCATCACAATATTTCATGTGATTCACAATCAACTATGACAATTCTGAGTGTTGAACAAATACTTATCAAGTCATCAACTTCATTTGTTTTTTTAAAACACAGTTTCTCAATAAATGGAAGTTTAAGTTTTAGTCCCCTCTTTCTTCAGTGACATGGAAGACACATTCAAATTGTGAATGTAGACAAGAACTAATTAATATAAAATATATAGAGCAGCAGTTAAATCTACAGCATCTCTATGATACATCCTAGAAGTAATCATTCTGTAGTGAACTATTTAGATGTGCATGCTTGGGGAATGTAAACTGCAGCAACAAGAAGAGTTTTATAACTTCATGTGTTGAAATCTTACCATGAAAGACTTCTGACATGTGGTTAATAATATCCATCAAGCTTTACTGTTTCTGAGCACCAAGTGTCATTAATGAAAAACACAGTTTCTCCCCTTGTGAACACTTGTTCCTTAAAGCCACCAGAGGAGGAGCTCTCACACAACAAATGATTTCAACTTCATTTGACTGTAACAGTAAAGAGAGAGAGAGAAACAGTCTTAAGGCTTTATTAGATCTTCTAATAAATGTGTCACTTAAATATTGTTTCAATCTCTATCTCTGATTAATTGAGAGTTTAAGAGTAATACTCAATTTTACCAGGATTTTAAAATATTTTAATGAACGTAGTCGGCTGATTTACCATCCTGTGTATGTAAATTAGCCTCCTCTTGTTGCCATATAAGAAAGTCCACTGGGTGTGTTAATGCATCAAGTTCTCACATCAGATCAGCTCATCATCAGTCATGTTCTCTGCAGCTCTGATTCTGCTGCTGAGCTGGATCCTGTAAGGATATTTTCAACTGTTTAGAAACAACTCATAATCAGATGATGATGGAGATAATGATGATTTGTGTTTCCACAGGTGTGCACTGTATTGATCTCATCACACCAGGCTCAATGGTGTGCAGCCTGGACAGTCTCTGACCCTCACCTGTCAGGTCTCTGGTTACTCTCTGACTGATAACAGCTATGCAACAGGTTGGATCAGACAGCGTGAAGGGAAACCGATGGACTGGATCTCTATCAGTGGGGGAAGCTCTGGGAGCTTTTACCAAAATAATGCTCTGAAGAACAAGTTCAGCTACAGCAAAGACACGTCTGCTGGAACAGTGACTCTAACAGGACAGAGTCTGCAGCCTGAAGACACTGCTGTGTATTACTGTGTGAGAGACCCACAGTGAGAGACAATAACAGGAGAGTCATACAAAAACTACTTCCTCTGTTTACAACCATCACTGGGAACATTCAGCTGTCTCAACATCACATTATAAAAACTAATTATGAATACGTGTCAGAAATACAAAAATCAAGACGTGATTGACTCAATATCAGACTCCTACATCATGGTCCGGAGTTATTACTGGACTGTGATTGGCCGCAGGGTGTCAAATCATTTCTCACTTTGACAGTTTCTTCTCCAAGTTGTCTGTGAGTTCATGATAATGGACATTTTGTTTAACAATTCTTAAACACACTCAGATGCAGAGGAAAGTCCAGGACACAAAAAACTGATAGTAAGAAAAAGTTCTCTACTCAAATGTTTGTAGGTCAAACACAGAGAGGCAGTCAGCGAGGGCAGAAAAATCCAACGAGGGCAAATCCACAAAATCCAAAGAAAGTTCAAAACCGGGAAAAGCAAACAGGGAAAATAAGGCTGGAAAGCATGAACACACTCAGGAGACGATGACAATCTGTCAGAGGGCTGGTAGAAACACAGGGGTGAATATACAGGGCAGACTTATTGCAGGTGAGACACAGGTGTGTTGGGACAAAAGGAGGGAAACCAAACAATTGCAGGAAGATGGGCTACATATTATTCACAAGCAGCAGATAACAACATAAAACAGGAAGTGAACACAGAACAAAAGAAAACAAAATGGCTGGACTAACAGAATATCACAAATTTTGATAAAGAAGCTGCAGAATTATCCAGTTAGCTTACAGGTGTATTTCAGTTTACTGGAACAGCAGACGCAATTATTCCTGAGCATCGGCTGACAGCATGTTTAAAGGAGGGTCACTACACACACACACACACACACACACACACACACACACACACACACACACACACACACACACACACACACACACACACACACACACACACACACACACACACACGGGATGGATGTGAAAAAACTCAGAAAATTGAACCTGTTCCGAGAGAAATAATAACAGACGAAAGTTTCAGAGTGATTGTGCAAAAGTAATTGACACAACTACGATCTTGTTTTTTTTCCACATGCGTCAATTTTGGACACATTTAACACAGAAAACAAAATGTACTCAGAAATAATTTAGCATTGAGGTCTGAATTCTCACCTCTGAATTTTGAATTGAGATTTTCTGAATGTCAGGACAAAGAAGGATGAGGAAATGATCATATTCAACATCAGGTTTTTCTACAGAATATTGCCAGACCATGCTGCAGTTACAACACAGAAAATAAATGCTGAAATATGACTTGACCACACATCCATCAACCAAAAATACAGACTCATTTTACCTGAAATAGCAGGAGTCAATGCAAATGTAAAGCAGAGATGATTTCCAGTCATCTTTTCACTCTGCAGATATAAAAACAGTGAACAGACTCTCCTATTGGCTCCAGTCAGACCATCACTGATGCTTCATATGTTTGATTGTATGCAAACTCAGTGAGCTTCCTTGTTACTCAGCTATAAAAACTTCCCATCAGGCCGTCAGTGGAGTTCACAGCACGTCACTTTCAACATCAACCATGTTTTCTGTAGCTCTGCTGCTGCTGCTGGCAGCTGGATGTGAGTCTGTCTGCATCTGTCAAAGTCAACAGTTCTTCTTCTGCAGTTTAACTTGATCATTTCTTACTAAACATGTTCTCTTTTTAACAGGTGTGAAGTGTCAGCAGTTGACACAGCCAGCCTCTGTGACTGTGCAGCCAGGTCAGAGTCTGACCATCACCTGTCAGGTCTCTTATTCTGTTAGCAGCTACCACACAGCCTGGATCAGACAGCCTGCAGGGAAAGGACTGGAGTGGATTGGAATGAGATACACTGGAGCTGCTTACTACAAAGATTCACTGAAGAACCAGTTCAGTATCGACTTAGACTCTTCCAGAAACAGAGCGACTCTAAACGGACTGAATATGCAGCCTGCAGACACTGCAGTGTATTACTGTGCCAGAGAGCCACAGTGACACAATCTATCAGTAGAGCTGAACAAAAACCCCTCAGAGCCTGAACACCAGTAACGTGAAGCCACCAGAGGAGGAGCCCTCACACCAATAATGATTAACACCAAGCACTGAACCAGGGGAACAGAGCCTTTTCCATTGCTGCCCCTCTCCCTCTGGATCTCTCTCCCCAAACACACCTGAGACTTTACGGACCTACCACAATTCAAATCACTGATAGAAACATTATAAACACTGCTTTAGATTGCTAATGTTTCTTTTTGTACCATTGTTTAAAAGTGTTTTTCTTTAAATGCGACTCTGTAAATCAAATAAATTAAATGTATTATAATTATATTTATACATATTAAACACCAGTTCACTTTTACAGTAAGGAGAAAAACAGCTGTAAGACATTATGAAAATACCTTTGTTTTAAACAGAATAACTCAGCACGTTTTGAACAGAAGACACCATCAAAGAACATGATGGGGATTAACTTCCTGTTAGATGTGAATATTTTTGGTACATGTGATCACAGATGTTACTGTATGTTCAATAACTGTCAAAAAAGTGGAGCTGTGTGTTTTTCTGCTTTGTGTTCTTCCTGATTGGCTGCCTGAATTGATATACCGAAAAAAAGAAAAGATTAGCAAATAAAAAGGTCAGTTGCGTTGAAAATTTAAGTCCATAAGTAAAGAGGTGATATCCAAATTAAATTATTTTCTTATCTCTCTGAGGAGGAGTCAATGCAAATCTCTGATGTGTTCCTCCTCTACTTATGTGAGTGCAGAGAGGACGACAGAGAACAGTGGACACACAGTTGAACATGATGGACTATAGGACAGGACTGCTGCTTTTTACTGTCTGCTGGGCAGGTGATGATCATCAAAGTCTTAGTTTTCTCTTGATGTGTGCCAACTATGTTCAATTGACTTTTTTAAATGTCTTTACAGGTGTTAAAGCTCAGACTCTGACAGAATCTGAAGCAGTGGTTAAAAGGCCTGGAGAATCCCACAGACTGACCTGTTCAGCCTCTGGATTCACATTCAGCAGCTACCCTATGAACTGGGTCAGACAGGCTCCTGGAAAAGGACTGGAGTGGATCGCCTGGGTTGAGCGTGATAATGACAACAAATTCTACTCTCAGTCAGTTACAGGCCGGTTCACCATCTCCAGAGACAACAGCAGACAGCAGGTGTATCTTCAGATGAACAGTCTGAAGACTGAAGATTCTGCTGTTTATTATTGTGCCAGAGACCCCACAGTGACACAGGAGGAAGTATCGCTGTACAAAAACAGTCAAAGTAGCATTTCACATTACATCAGTAACCTCACTGACTGGGATGTGTTAAGTAGCTGTACAGAATCCTTTGCTATTTATGTCTAGTGGACCTATGGAGCTTGTTCAATTCAGAATCAGGGATATAGTCCTTAACATACAGACTCAGACCAAGATGGAGTGACTGATTCCAAAACCAAAAACTGATTCGGCTACAAAGTAATGAGAAAATGATAAACCTGATGTAGGAGTTATTACTCTCTCTACATTAAATGGAGTGGTTTACTGCTCCTCTCTCTTACACTGCTAATGTCAACCAGAAGTATATCAGCAGTTCTTCATTTCATTGAATTACATTTTAAAAGGATACTCAACAGGAATAAAGCACAGACATACTTTCCCTGTCAGAATAATTTTTAGGTTTGTAATTACCGTAGGCTTCACCACTTGAACGAAAAATCAATACCCACAAACATCCAGACCTCTTAAATCTTCACCAAGGATCCTGGAAAGGACTTTTAAACCAAACGTTAAACAACAACAAATGATTAAATAGACTAATAAAACAATAGTCTTTTCTTTCTCAATGCTGGGTCCTTAAAGCTTGAGAGGGCAGATATAGGTTTGTGTGTGAAGACATGTGCTCCCCTCTTATTGTTGTATGAACTGACAAAACTGCGTCCTGCCGACTCACTCAGCTGTGTATTACTGAGTCTGTGTACGCTCCACTGACACAAATCACCAAAAGACCAGCACAACTAATCCAGAGCAATGCAGTTCAATCACACATAATGTTGACTTTATAAAGACAACACACTCTGATAAGTATGATGTGAGGAATCTTTATGTATTCACAGAACAATAGAGGATTTTTGTTTTACCTGTACATGAGGAAGAATAGCGTGCTATAAACCCAATCAGACTTCCACTGCAGCCGACATCAGTGCAGAAAAAAACGTAGAGAAGCTTGATTGTTCCTGAATATTTATAGATTAATGTTGTGTATCGTGATCCCAAGAAATGCTTGGGGAAACATTTAATTCAGTGCTCATGGAATCGGGTAGAAAATATCATCTGATAACATATCTACATTAACAATATAGCTTCATCTCAAACACACAAGCTACAATATTCCCTTTTGCATATCAAGATGAAAAGTAACAGATTATCATTTCGGGAAAGAAGATGCTTTGTCGATTTGCCATGACTGTGATATTTTAGAGCTTGCTCTGTTGCTGAAGATATTCTCTTCTTATGGAAATGTATCAGTCACAGTTTCTCTTTTGAACCTGTAGAGGGAGGTCTATGCAAACTCGTCCTCTCTTATAAACACACCGTCAGTAACTTGTGGCAGATCAATCGGACAGTTCTGAACACTTTTGAAAATCTGAGATCAGACAGCACTGAACAGAGGAATGGGTAAAAGTAGTATCTGGAGTTTATTACTTGTAGTTACTATTCATGGTGAGACAATCCATCCTGCTTTAATACTTTGTGTAAATGTCAAACCTTTTTTTCAAGTTTTGTTGATAATGATCAATATTTCTATGACAACAGGAGTTTGGAGTGAGATCAGACTGGAGCAGTCTCCCTCTGAGGTGAAAAGACCTGGAGAGACAGTGAAGATGTCATGTATCATATCTGGGTACAGCATGACCAGCAACGATATCCACTGGATCCGACAGAAACCAGGGAGAGCTCTGGAGTGGATTGGGTGGATGAGTACTGGCGACAATGCTGCTAGCTATGCAAGCTCCTTTCAAAGTCGCTTCAGTATGACAGAAGATGTGCCCAGCAGCACTCAGTTCCTCCAGATCCAGACACTGACAGCAGCAGATTCTGCTGTTTACTTCTGTGCTCGTCAAGGCACAGTGAGTGAGGACAGTGGAGCAGCTGTACAAAAACCTCCACAAAGAATCAGCAGTGTGATCTCAATCATATCTGTTTTTTCATACCATCATACTTAGGCATGGGCGACATCACTAAAAAATATTTCTTATCAGTCGATATTGATAATTATCACATTATTTCTTTCAAATAAAAACCAAATAATGATTGCAGTGATACAATTGTTTCACTTTCTACAGGGGAAGTACAATAAGATCCACAAACAGGTTGGATCATAAAAAGGAGCCCTGTTTATAAGTGCAGACAATTAAACTGAGAAACAAAATAATAGTCTTTTCTTTCTCAATGCTGGGTCTTCAAAGGTTTAGAGGGCAGGTATGGGTTTGTGTGTGCAGACGTGTGCTCCCCTCTTATCGTTTTATGAACTGACAAAACTATTAAGAACTCCAAATTTGATTTCCTGCAATGAACACTGACTCATATTCTGTTGAAACAAGTGTCCCTCTGTTGATAAAACGTAGATTGCTGGGTTGAACTTTGTACTATTTGGCACCTAAAGTTGATCACTGCATGTTAAGAGAAAAATATGAATGAACTTCCCCTTAAAGTATACTGTAAAAACACCAGATGGCAGGAAGAGCCCAGTTTCTCTGAGGCCTGTCGCTTTAAGGAAACGCTCAGTTCTGCTGACTCAACATTTCTCTACTTCTGAGATCCCTACACCTTAATATTTGATTGATATATTCAGCATTATCAACACTGTATCTCGCCTGTTTTTAGATATGATTTGCCATGACTGTGATATTTCCGAGCTTGCTCTGTTGCTGAAGATATTCTCTTCTTATGGAAATGTATCAGTCACAGTTTCTCTTTTGAACCTGTAGAGGGAGGTCTATGCAAACTCGTCCTCTCTTATAAACACACCGTCAGTAACTTGTGGTAGATCAATCAGACAGTTCTGAACACTTTTGAAAATCTGAGATCAGACAGCACTGAACAGAGGAATGGGTAAAAGTAGTATCTGGAGTTTATTACTTGTAGTTACTATTCATGGTGAGACAATCCATCCTGCTTTAATACTTTGTGTAAATGTCAAACCTTTTTTTCAAGTTTTGTTGATAATGATCAATATTTCTATGACAACAGGAGTTTGGAGTGAGATCAGACTGGAGCAGTCTCCCTCTGAGGTGAAAAGACCTGGAGAGACAGTGAAGATGTCATGTATCATATCTGGGTACAGCATGACCAGCAACGATATCCACTGGATCCGACAGAAACCAGGAAGAGCTCTGGAGTGGATTGGGAGAATGGATACTGGCAACAATGCTGCTAGATATGCAAGCTCCTTTCAAAGTCGCTTCAGTATGACAGAAGATGTGCCCAGCAGCACTCAGTTCCTCCAGATCCAGACACTGACAGCAGCAGATTCTGCTGTTTACTTCTGTGCTCGTAGAGACACAGTGAGTGAGGACAGTGGAGCAGCTGCACAAAAACCTCCACAAAGAATCAGCAGTGTGATCTCAATCATATCTGTTTTTTCATACCATCATACTAAGAGTTATTGATTTGATTTACCAAGAAAAAGAAGACATGAGACAAGTCTACAGTGTTCACTGAATTACGTGATTTAAACAGACCCAACATAAATCATAGTGCAAGTGTGAAATCCAGTGCAAGCAAGCAGTTGGCAACATTTGGCAATAGTGGAAAGATCGGAAGAATCCTGGCTGGGCAGAGAAAGTAAAATAAATAATTAGAGCCCGACAGATTAATCAGCCAGCCAATAATGTCGGCCGATATTTCGTTTAATATTAAATATAGATATATAGATATTTACTATTGGTATTGGCTAATGTTATTGCAGATATGTGTCGATATCACTGCAGTTATTCACCAGTCAAATCGCCTTTTAGTTGAGTGTCATTGTATTACACTATCAGTTCTCTTTCACCAGCAGAGGGCGCTCTTTGGATTACAACAAGCATTATTACTCCAAAGAGTCAAGTGAAGCACGTCCATGCGCAGTTACTTTTCAGTTCAGTGAGCATCTTGTCTTCATGAAATATCTTTTCCACAAGTGGTATCACTGCATTTGAGGTATAAACAAAATACATTCGTATATATCTATATTATCTATCCAGCTCTACAAACAGAAAATACATTTAAGAAAGATATCGGCCAATATATCAGTACCAGTTTTTTTTCTCTTCCTAATATTGATATCTGTATCGGGCCCTGAAAATCACTTATTGCTCAGGTCCTATGAACAATCACAACAACCACAACAGATAATACAGACTTATGGCTACAATGCCAATTATGTGTAATATAAGTGAATATATGATTAAACTTTTATGAATAATTGCAGTCAATCAGGTCTCATATTCTTCTTTTCTCTGTTTACTGCCTGGTCACTGATGGAATTTATTTCCAGTTCCTGTGAGCAGTTTTTTTTAGCTTCTTATTTAACGGACTAAAAGTAATATTCCTATGAAAGTCCTACAAAAGCAAATGAGATGATCTGGAAGAAGATTGTTCTTTTTTTATTCTTTGTAATCTCTTTCACTGCAGGGTGTTTGTCGGGAAAGGCGATATACAGCACTCTGCCAAACTCCACACAAATGATTCATAAGTGATGTTTTGATGGTTAAAAGACAGCAGGAGTATTTATTTTATCAGAAAACACAACTTTTCTCCAGCACGGGACAAGATCAGCATAAAGAGAAGATATGCTGCGTTGACAAATATCAAACACAAATGAAAAGTTCTTCACTGTCAATTTAAGCTAGCAGAGACGAAGGAAAATCTCCTAAAATGAGGTCAACAGTGAAAGTTTCAGAGTCAACACCCTCAAGTAATTCTCTAAATATCAATAATGCTTTCCCAATCCACTCAACACATATTCATTGAGGTAAAAAGACTTTTCAGATGAAAATATGTTTGCATGTTTTCCCAAACTGATTGTTACAAATCTGACACAGAGTACAGGATCAACTCATTTTATGTTCTTCGTGTCTAACCAGCCTTGAAAACTCCATTCATTTAAAAACACATCTAGTGTAGAGAGATGAAGCAGAATCTACAAATATATGTTTTTTTCCAAAGCAACAAACATCAGAGAGTAAGTACAACACAAGCAAGGATCTAGAAAAGAGGAAGTAACGTCTGGTTCAGACTGCACCAGTCAAATGATGTTGAAACTGACGTTGAATCTTCATGCTTTTCATTTTTAGATATGTGAGGTGTGGCAATGCAAATGTTCCCTTTTTCCATTGCTTTTAATCTCCCTGCAACTTGAGAACACACCAATCCAACAACCAGATTTACACACATTTT